GTGATGCGCGCGACCTGAAGCCATACTAAGTCGTGAGCCTCAAAGCGTGTGTTGCGCATTACCGAGCCTAAGTATTGTGTTTTTTTGTTGTTGCTTAATAATAAAAGCGTGGCAGTTTGGGCAAGTTGTTATGACATGACGATAGTTATATTGCGACAACAGAACGCTAGTGTCCTTCTTGTCTCTTTGTCATGGTTGTGTTCTCGCGCTAAATTTATCATTTTATTGCAGCTTATTGCTTTGACACTTTAAAATGCGAAGCATTTCTTAGCGAAAATCGGCAACTTTTAGCGTGACTGTCTATCTATCTATCTATCTATCTAATATCATCTATCTATCTATCTATCTATCTGTCTATGTATCGATCTATCTATTTATCTATCTATCTATCTAGCCGCTTACGACTTTTAGCTCTCCAGGTCGTTTGGATGATGCTATCGATACCAAACTTGGTATGACCTCCCATGACTGCGTCACAAAAATATCTGACTAGTCACACCACGAAAATCATGATATGTATGTCATGAATGTTATGATTTACATTTATTGGTGTTGCTGCTCTTGAGGTGGTTTCGTTCACATAAGATGTTGCAAAACAGGTATGGTATGACATGGCTGCATTGTGAACACAAGCGGCAGACCCTATAAAAATCATGACATGCGTGTCCTGTAACAACAAGACTACATGCCACGCTCATGATGCGCTCGTGGCCGTTTCGCTAGTGTGACATATACCAAATTTGGTACTATGGTACGTGAATGGATGACGAAAGTACGTAACTGGTGCAAACACGACAATCATTAGACGCGTGTCATGTAACATAATATATGCCGCGCTCATAATGCGCTGGCGGCCGTTTCGCTGGCGTCACATGTACCAAATTTGGTCTTACGGCACGTGAATGAAGGACGAATGTACATGACTGATGCAAACATGGTAATCATGATATGCATGTCATGTAACATGACTACATGCTACGCTTATGATGCGCTCGTGGCCGCTTCGCTAGCTTCAGATGTGCCAAATGTGGTATTACGTGACGCGAACGGACGGCATAGGTAAATGACGCATCCAAACATAACAATCATGGCATGCGTGTCTCGACTCGACTACATGCCACACTCATAATGCGCTCGCGGTCAATTTGCTATTATTACATTTGCCAAATATGGTATTACCTGACATCAAGGGGTGACGTGGGTATGTGATTGGTGAAAACATAATAGTCATAAAATGCATGTTATCTGAGAGCATGACTACATGCCACAGTAAAAGCGCTAATACAATTAGACACAACCCGGCAGGCGTGCGGGCCAACGTTGCCACGCCAGGCGCCACTTCTGCCATATTCTTGCTGGTTCCTGCCGCGCTGGGTATCTTTCCCGTATGAGCATTTCAGCGCATGCGGCTTTCCTTCATCATGAAAAGAGGAAGACGCAGTGTTGTCTGGGTAATGCATCTGCGCGAAATGCAGCGTTTCGCGTTTTGATTGATATGTGTAGTTTAACGCCCCAAAGCCACGTCATGATTATGACAGACGCAGTAGTGGAGGGCTCCAGAAATTTCGACAACCTGGGGTTCTTTAACCTGCACCCAAATCTGAGCACACGGGCCTACAACACTTCCGCCTCCATCGGAAATGCAGCCGCCGCCGCCGGGATTTGAACCCATGACCTGCGGGTCAGCAGTCGAGTACCTTAGCCACTAGACTACCGCGGCGGGGCAGCTTGTCGCATTTTGCACCGGTTGCCGTCGGGCCCCGCCGACGGATGCTGGTCGTGCCGATCTCGCCTGGCGTCTGTGTATAGAGTGCTCGCATTTTGCTAACGTAGCGTCGCTGTGCCCAGCGTGCGCGCACGTCAAGATTATGTTGGAGTATATTCCGCCTTTTATGATGCACTCGTGGCCGTTTCGCTAGCTCCTCAAATACCAAATTTTGTGTTAGGTAACGTCCGTAGATGAAGAGGGTATATGGCTGGTGCAAACATGATAATCATGACACGCGTGCAATGTAAGTACATGACAACATACCACGTTCATAGCATGCTCGCGGCGAATTCGCTAGCTCCACATATACAAAATTTGGCATTACCTGACGTGAATAGATGGCGAAGGTAAACGACACATCCAAACATGATAATCGTGTCACGGAAGTCGTGTACGGCATAATTTACCGCCACCTCGTAACAATGCGGTGATTTTAAAGTGACATATCAACCTTCCCCATTCACGCTTCGCATATCATCGACTCCCACTGTACGTGGGATCTGCCGTTTATTTTGGCTTTATTGTCAGGCTTGGCTGGAACAGTGGCTGGAGTGCTCGGCTGTTATCTCATCCACGGCGGCCACATTCCTGTGGAAGTGAAGTGGTAGAGGCCCGTGTTCTGTGGGATCTCAGTGCACCTTAACTAACACCAGATGGTTATTATTATTATTATTATTATTATATTATTTATGAATTCTTACTAATATAATATCAGTTCTTGTTTTAAAATGTATTTTATTTTTCTGTTAAAGCGTCGGAGCGATGTCTTTTCAGGAGGGTCATGCAACACTCATTTCTCAAAGTTTGTTGTGGCATTATTACACATGTAAGTTTGCTGCCTTGCGCAAACCAGGCTTAGTGGCTATTAACTATCAAAATGAACTTAGCACATTCAGATGGAATTACGCGCACAACTGAGCCTTACAGGTTCTTTCGGAAATTTTGTGGCAGCTAGCGATAACACTGGAATATTTCCGGGCACACGTATATTTGCAGACGTGCATCTGCACTTGGCACTTCATCGAAAGTTGATGCTCCATACGCGGCGATCAGTGCCAGTGGGTATTGTTGTAATGCGAGTTTTCGTTAAGAAGCTACAAGATCGCCTCCATAAACAGTTTCGTCTTTGACATACCGGCTGCTCGCTTTGTTAACGCCACGATTCTCGTGACAGTACATTTGCCGACATTTCACCGCGCGTCACTCAACAAATATTTGCACAACCTTCACCGTATTCGGGTATAACATATTTCTTTAGGTACATCGGATCTACCGAAATTTCACACGAGTCGTCTCAAGGCTTGTGATCACGAGATATAGAAGCCCGCTTCTCGAACTTTCATTGTGCGCATGTCATAAGCTGCGCTAACACCTCGTGTCTTGTAGCATTAGCTACACTGACCGAACCAAAGTTTTTTGACTTCACGTACAAAAGCCGTGTTCTGCATGCGCGAAGAACAGTGAAAGCGCCTGCCTCATCGGTCTGCGTATTTCAGAGGAGTGATGTCCTAGCTGTGGCAGACGCACTTTGAACGTCCCGCGTGGCTCATGCTCTTCGAGCTACGCTGCTATCTATGTTCGCCTTTGCCACGGCCCAACATACATATAACGTGGTGTGGGCCTTCGTGGCGTAGCCACTGAGAAAGAGAGTGAAATTACTGCTCACCGGCAAAGAAAAGCAGAGAAGCGTAGCTCAACGGATGCTGAAGTAGTTGCCTGGCAATTAGCGGTTTACCTCAGGAAGGACGAACAGAAGAAGCCCAAACGTGCAACGGAGACAAGAAGCCGAGGGAGAAACGTCTCGCAAACAGGCGTCTCCAGGAGGCTGATTGCTTGTCAATATGTTAAAACATATCAAAAGCGCCAGTGCTACTCGGACCTACAAGACGGACCCCACTAGCAGTCTGTTGTTAAAGTCTTTTACACATGAAAGACTCGTCCCGGTAATGACTCTTATGCGTGAAACGTAGAGTTTAGCGCGCCTTATTAGGTCACGCTACGTGTATCCTGGCATAGCCGAGCCAAGCTATTGCTTGATATTACAGTGAAAGTTGTATATGGCTAGGAAAAACAAGGGACTGTTCGGCATTGGTGTCACGAGCAGTCTATATTGGCTGTACTATCAGCTACGTCGTCGTTAGCGTCGTAACCTAACACGCACGTGATTGGCTCTGTTGTGAGTTACGTCATTCGTCCCGTCACACCAGGGAGCCGAGCACGTGCGCATCAGTTTCAACAAAGACCTTCCACATGGAAACGCACGAACAACTCTAAAAAAGCACCAACGATGGAACCGCGGTAGAGCTCGCTTTAACCGGGCCGATGGTGCGTGTAGTACGGGCATAAAAACAGGCTTAGGGGTCCATGTGCCAGCGAGAAATGCGTACCATGATCAGGCAGCCTTCCAAGCCGAGCTACATTGCGAACGGGAATGCAAGCACCAACGTTGGGCGTATCCTGTAAAACACGCCGTCGACTAAACTCAAGATGTGCAACGCTTCCACAATGCCACACTGAACAAGCGCCATTGCGGGCACGGTAGCGTAAACGTGATGACTGCGGGAGAGCGTTCGCTGTGGGAACGCCTGTTTTTGCCGGGAGTTTCGGCAGCGGCAAAGCGGCTTCGGCAGCGGCAAAGCGGCTTCAGCTGCGACGTCTCCGACTGCCGTTGGTTCGAGAACAACCATTGTGATTAACACATTGCGAAACGCATTTAACCACTGACTACAATCCTCCACGACTGTGATTACGGGAGGAAGAACGCGCGGTATGCAAAAAAAACAACACTGTGGCAAACTGAAGTCAAACGTGTGTTTATCATCAGAAAGGAGGACCGACATGTAACGAACATTTGTGAAAGGCTTCAGTGCAAGACGACAGAAATAGTGCGAGAACGGAACGACAACAAAGAAACACGAAGGACACAGCGTTCTATTCTCGCGCTATAACTGTCGTCACGTAATAACAACTAGCTACAACCGCCACACTTCCAAGCTTCAGTGTAGGGTCTGGTTGAACCTACTGCTGTATACCGGGGCCGCGCGTTTCAGCTTTCGCTGGTAATAATTTTTATACAATGCATGAGTGTTATTTTTTTTTCTAAATACATACAAGCATCCCTTGTCCTACGAAAATATCGGTAACACTGCTGAAGCAAGAAACACTTGTGTACCTAGATACATCTCTACGTGTGGCCCGTTTCACAGGAACAAAAATGTAAATGTAGAATCACCTGATCATCGGCAGATAAGCTGGCTTCCTGCTGTGGTTCGCTCGTGTAGTCCCAGTCAATTTTGGTTCGTTGTAAAAGAGGCGAGAAAAACGGGACCTGTACGGCTGCACCCTCCTGTCCACCGGCTTCTAGAAGCAGCACTTTGTTCGTGCCATCAGCCGTGAGACGGTTGGCCAGAACGCATCCTGCAGAACCTGCACCAACTACGAGAAATCTGAACAATGTTTTTTACAGCAGACATAATATGAACCATTGTATCGTCGAATAATCGGGAACAAAACATATTCAAGATCGAACTAAACAACACTGCCTATATTATCGATGCAGATATCCCGTTCAAATCTCTCTAATAGAAAATGACAATAACTATTCGTCATGAACATATAGATATTCAATACAAGTTAGTTTTCTACAAATAAAAAGCTTATTTTTGGCTCCCATAAAGTTTCAAGCCATGCCCTTAACTATTCATACAGGGTTACGATAATTTGGAACAAAGCTGAACTTTTTTCCTGTTGTAAAACTTGCGGCAATCGCCAATAAACTAATCCGACAAGGAGAACAGAAGACAATAGTGCTGAAGTGTAATGCATTGTGAATACAGATGGCAGCAAATCATACAGGCTGCCGGACCACTTCAGGCGCTGATAGTGCAACTGCCCTGAAAACTGACTGCTGAGATAGAGATCGTTGGCATGCCTCTTACGGATGTCTTGAGTCTGGTTAAGGCGAAGCCTCAGAGGACTAATGAAACGCTCAAAATGCCTGTCAGCGTCAATAAGCAACAGGTGCCCTAAAAATGACGCAACAAATTATCAACATTTGTGGAGTTATCACCACAACAAAATGAAGTCGACTAACGTGACACCCCATGCTGACGTCATTACATGCAATCACTGCTTGGATAAAGCCGCACCGATTCCGGAGAATGTTGAACGCCATGCGAGGCTCCGAAAGCCTCATAGGAAAAAGTAATTGTTATTAAGGTTGTCTGTCAAAAAATGACGGCAGTTTCCCGAGTGGGAACATTGGTTAGCATGCGGAGCATATATGTTGAACTGCGATAAATGTGGTTTGTAATTTGCGACATGCGCGTGTGTTATGAGTGAACACGAGTAAACACGAATGAACACGCATGCACGTATGCTGCGAAACACGATGTTTATTGATGAGACTCTTTGGGTATTTTGAGCAAGATGGCTTTATGGTCCGTAAAGTGAAGGGTGAGTGGGTCTGGTTGCAGCGGTCGAAGGTCGAAATTGGCAAAGACGTGGTCGATGCACGTCCCGCAAACCGCGTTCGGATGATGTTTGCCGTCGTGCGTTGCTCGTTTCAGTGAGTGCCACAACTCCATGTAGTCGACCACCCAATCGTCCTTGATGACGTCGACGTTGAAGTCGCCACCTATCACGAAGGGTCGTCGTTGCGGTCGTTGTTTCAGGTATTCTTCCACGGCTTCGTCGACGTACTTCTCCACGGCAGTACGCGATAAGTTGGGCGCGAGGCACATCGTCATGTCCGCAGACGCTAGCGACCCAGTGCTCGCCGTTGTCGCGTTGTTGTGCACCAGGCCGCAGTTGGAGCTCTTCGACAAAGTTCCCGAAGCTGGTAATCTTCCGCTCGACGTTGACGTATCGCAGCTGCTTCACGTCGGAGATCCTCCGCTAGACGCTGACGTCTCGCAGCTGCTTCACGTTCTCGTAGTTCGGGATCTTCCGCTCGACGCCGACGTTTGCGTTCCGCATCGCGAGCTCTTCTCAGCGCGGCCTTCTCTACGGACGAAGTGTCGTCGGAATTGCTTGCGGTTCCGCCAACACTTTCGCTGACGCTATTGAAAGGGACGTCAGTAAGTGTGTTTGCGGATTCGGTAGCATACAATTTCACCAGTGACATCACATGTGGAGTAACCGCACAAACCTACCGACAAAGGGCGGCGCGCCCCGGTACTCGGTTATTTATAGCGAACGCTAGCCCCGGCCTGCACATGCTCGCGTTAGCATACAGCTGGCGTACGTAAAACTAAAGGTCGCGTGGCGTGCGAAGGGGAGAAGTGAGCGCAGCGTGCGCTGTGTTGAGAGGAGGGAGGGATGCAAAGATGGCTGGCGGAAGAGGAGGGGAGGCGGCGGACGGCGACGGCGCATGACTAGCCCCTAGTATGACATGCTGAGCATGTAAAAAAATAAAACAAGCTTCAAGCAGCTCCACTCAATGAACATCCCAACGAAAAGACAAACAGTGCAGCGGGGAGATCACATAGCTACTTCGCGTCTTCAAGGGGTGGTGCTTATCAACTTTGTGGCTTGCGCGTTATCTTTTTGAATAATATTATTGTTGTGGTTCATTGCTCGAAAACAACATGATTATGAGAGACGCCGCAGTGAAAGGATGAGGCTTTATTCTAAGCACATGGACCTCAAGCACTTTGGACTCATTTAAAAATGGTACAACTGCAGCCAGTAATCACCATGACAATGCATGTAGCTCTCCTACCACTCACTTCATTGTTGGAAACAGGACAGGAAAATTTTTTTCTCGAAAGTTGGTCCATCACCTCGTCATATTCTGCGCTGTTTCTCTTTTTGAATCAAATATTAGTTTTAATCAGCAAGCCTATTGCCTTCGCGAACAGGCCAAATAAGCTTTACATCAAACAGCATGGAAAATTATTGCTGCAACTTTTATTGGCATACGCGCAATACCGTCTCACTGAGAGGTATGTGGAACAGTCAAAAACGTGGAGTGTTTTCTACCCTGCTGCTCTTTTTTGCACTTTCAGACTGCGCTGCGTGCAATTTTCTCCGTCGTCCACCCCGAAAGCTTCATTTACATAATTATAGTAGAGACAGTAGATGTATGCGCCTTGTAATCATTGTGTACGGCAATTGATCGAGGTGTGGACTGAAAGACAAATAGGGGTAACGGAGTGGAGGCTGGACTTGGTTTTACCCTGCTCAACGAACGCCATCTTAAGACGACTTTGCGGAATGTGCCAATAAAGACTACAGAAAAATTTTTACACTTTTGTATGAGTTACACTATCGGCACAAGCATTATGCATGACAAAGCTGACATGCTTCCGTGGCCGACAGGTCATGTCCTTTTGGGCCCCATGCCATCACGATATTAGAGTGCGTGGATTTATTCAAATTTCTATCTCGTTTGAAAATTCGCCGACTATTAGGCAATAGTGCGTTATCACCTAAGTAAGACACAAAACATGCGCGGAACATGCAACAGACACAAATTGTACGTTGAAGGCGCGGCTTTAGAACGCAATGTTAACTCTTTCACGTGCGCAGCACAGACGTATTCTGCCATCCCACGCCGGAGAACTGCATTGCCGTGTTTACCGCATTTGATTCTGCGTTTTTGATTGTGCGAGTGCTATTATCAGTTTTAGAAAAAAAATATTGGCAGGTTTCACGTACAGTGGGAATCTATTATATGCGGGGAACGAATGAGGAAGGTTAATATATCACTTTATATTCAGCACAACGCTACGGTGTGGACATAAAATATGTGGTGCATGACTTCCATGTCATGAGTATCATGTTCTAACGTGTCATTTACCCTCATTGTCTACTCACGTCTCTTGATACGAAATGTGGTGTATATTAAGAGCTATTGAAATGGCCGCAAGCGCACTTTCAGCAGGGCATGCAGTCATCTTTTACAAGACACGAGTGTCATGATTATCATGTTTGAACCTCGTCTATTCATGTCGGGTAATGCCAAAATTGGTATGTGAAGCTAGGAAAACGGCCACGAGCGCATCCATATTGTGGTATGGCATCATGTCATGATTATCATGTTTGCACCCGTCATCTATAGAATTCACGTAAAACCAAATTTGGTATATGTGAAGCTATCGAAACAACACCAAGAAGGTAGCATGTAGTCATCTTTTACATGGCATGCATACCATGATTATTATGTTCGCATCAATCTTATACCTTCATCACCCATTGACGTCACGTGCTACCAAATTTCGTGTATGTGGAGCTAGAGAAACGGCGGCGAGCGCGCAATGACCGTACTAAAAATGTTTCACGTGACACGAATTTCATGATTATAATGTTTGGAAGTCATTCATTTACCTCACGTAATACCAAATTCGCTATAGAAGCTAGCAAAACGCCCCGAGCGCACCATGAGCGTGGTAACCTGTCATGTTCTTACATGACACACTTGTCATGATTATCATGTATGCACCCGTCACAGACCATCTTCACCCATAGACGTCACGTAAAACCAAATTTTGTATATGTGAAGCTAGTGAAATAACTATGAGTGCACTATTAGCGCAAGTATGTAGTCATGTTTCACGTGACCAGCATGTCAAGATTATCTATGCTTAGACTGTTCATTTATCTTCCTCTTCTGTTCACGTCACGTAAAACCAAATTTCGGATACGTCAAACTAACGAAACGCACACAACCGCATCATGAGCGTGGCATGTAATTATGTTTTTATGTGACACGCATCTCATGATTATCATGTTTTCAACAGTCATATACCTTCGTCATTCATTCACGGCCCATGATGACAAGCTTGGCATATGTGAAGCTAGCGAAACGATCGCGAGCGCACCATGAGCATGGCGTGTAGTCATGAATTACGTATCATGCAGGTCATGATTTCAAAGTGAGGGTTGGTCACTTATGTTCGACATGCAGTCATGCTGTAGCATACCAGTTTTCCAATATGTCATGTGACTGAAACCACCGCAAGAGCAGCGAGACTATGAATTGTGAACTATGAAATTCATGACAAACATGTGATTTTCATGTTATAACAAGTCACTTATGCATGTCATATCGCCATGTTCTTTCTTACTGATTTCGGTACCGGTAACATAATTGTAGATGGATAGATAGATAGATAGATAGATAGGCATAATGATAGATAGATAGATAGATAGATAGATATATAGATAGATAGATAGATAGATAGATAGATAGATAGATAGATAGATAGATAGATAGATAGATAGATAGATAGATAGATAGATAGATAGATAGATAGATAGATAGATAGATAGATAGATATGCCCAAAGTCGCCGAATTCGGCTAGGAAATGCTTCGCTTTTAAAATGGTGTAAAATGCGTCGTATAGAAATTTGCACAAAAGCACAAGAAAGGGCAAAGAATTTCTGGTGATTTCGTGTCTTTCACGACGAGCGCAAGAAATTGGTCCCTGCC